CACAATAAATATCCACTCAGTAGAATAGTTTACTTCTATTAACAATAAAGTGTTCAACTGTAGGAAGATTTATTTAACTATCTACAGATTTGTAAATGTATAGCACTGCCATAAGATTAGAGATTGAGAGGAATGGGAGCATTACAAAAATAGAATTTGAAAGAATTTAGCTATAGAAGATGGGAAGAGGGTGATAAAATAGATATAAAAGATAGTAAAAGAAAATTAACAGGTTAGGTAATAGTACCAGAGAAAACTAACAAGGACAAGGAAAAATAATAAGGAATAGAGATTAACCTAGAGGAAAAAAAATACTGCCATGGTATCTCAGTTTGTAAACTTAATTCTTTCCACATTTATGGTCACAAATCAAGTTGGACAAGTATTGAATCACGTTCAGTGGTTAAGTTCAGTGTTGACATTATGGGGCAATTTGATTTGGTTCTTGTCCAATTTTATTTGTGATCAGAATCATGGAAAAAATTCACTTCATGAACTGTAAAATTATAAGGCAACAAATTGAAAAAGAGATAGCAAGAAATGAAGAAGGAGAGGGAGGGACAGAGAGAAACTCCCTTATCAAACAGGTAAAACAAAATAACATTTAAAGGGGAAGATAAGAAAATGGATGATAGAGCTCCCAACTCTACCAAAATAAAAAAATTTTCAAAATTAACAATAGAGAAGAAAGCATTGGATAATGAGAGGAGGCTAGGTAAGATAAAGAAGAATTAAAAGAATGATATGGGGAAGATAGTCATGCTACTGAGTAGTTTTCTTCTAAAAGTAGTTTGCCAAATAAATGTTACCAGGTTTTGAGTTGCTCCCCTCTCTTTCTGGAGGTAGATTCCAGTCTTTTCTGATCTTGAACAGAGAACTGAACAAAATGAGTCCAAGAAAGATGACAAAGTTTATTTGAAAAAAAGTGAAGAACGAGAGAGAAACTGGCTCTGCAGAGTGAGTTTGGGCCAAGAGTAACAGAGAAAAAAGCAGATAAAAGTACTTTCTAGAAGACAGAGGGTAGACAGAGGCGAGGAAAGCCGCCATGGTGATCATTTCTTGGCTTCTGTCCTTTTATGCTCTTCACATCTTGGGGAAAGTCTTGAGAACTCCTACAAAGGAGGCTTTGAGGCACTGCTTGCGACCGTGTGCCTCCTTCCCAGCCAGTCTAAGCTGCCCTCTATCTTCTGTCTCAGTGGGTTTGATATGGAAGAAGAAAGGAATAAGTGAGGAAAAAAAAATATGACAAAATTAGAAATTTGAGAGTAAGACAATATATTTTTAGTATTCTTTTTTATTTTTATTTTTTGGCTTTTTCGTTTTTACCGGTACCAGGGATCGAACTCACAACTGCCTGCTTGCAAGGCAGGCTCTTATGCCGCTGAGCTAAATCCCCAGCCCCTAATATTCTTTTTGAAAAAGAATTAAGTAGAATTGCATGTGATCTTAAAATGAGGAAATGAGATGCAGAGATAAGAGGGATACAAGCTAGATACTATCTAATTCAAAAAAATTGGAGAAATAATAACAAAAATCCAAACAAAATTTAAAAATCCTGAAAAAAACCCCAACAAAACAGTGCTGTTGCAGTCAGGGATTGCAAGGAAGACAACTATATACAGGACACACAATTTATGGAATTATTATTTTATGATAGTCACCCAAAGAGTTCAATACAAGAAGTGCAGGAAATTTGTCCACACATTAAGACCCAAGAAATCTAGCTGAGGGCCTGAATTCCACAGCAGTGGCCTACATAAGTCTAGTTGAAGACCTAGAGGCTATAACAATGTTCCAGTGAGTCCAGCTGGAGGCCTAGAGCCCATGATAATGACTCATGCAAGTCTGTGTCACGGATTTGCATTGGGAAGGCCTATAGGTCAGCAGTGGAAACTAGAACGTCTCTGCCAGTAGGTTGAAGGTTCTGCACTTGGAAGCGATGTTCAAAGTAAGAACTAGATTTCCCCCGAAAAGTACCACAGCCATCCTCAGCAACAGAGAGGTCCTGAGCTCTTCTGATGGTGAGAACAGCCAAGCTCATATCAGGAAGCCAGCATGATAAACTTCTCCTAGAGAATGAAGAGCACACTGTCTACCCCTCTGGAGCCAGGAAGTGGTAAGGTAAAGACCACAACTCCCCTAAAGTGAACCACAGCGATTCTCAGTGACAATGTCCTGAGCTCCTCTGATGGTTAGAACAGCTAAGTTCATATCAGGAAAAAGGCTCAACAAGCTCCTCCAGGAGAACCAGTGACAACAAGAGAACCAACAACGCCATGGAGAGCCAACAACACTACTTCCACTCCAGTTCTCCTTTTCATTTTGGCAACAGTGCTCGGGTGGGCCATCCACAGTCAGCACCACGCTGATTCAATTCAGCGGTTCTTACAACTTGACCACCAGTTATGCATCCACCATAAATGGCAAACCAAAGAAAACAGTCCAACACAAATAATTCAAAACTCAGAAGATATCTGATGCCAACTCAGTTTAAATACTCCAAAAAGAGAAAGTATGTGTGATTCAAATGTAACCTCTTCGCCAGGAAGTGTGGGAGACGGTGATGTAACTGAGTTCTCACTCTCTGATGTCTACAGGTTCCCAGGGTTATGTATGCCACAGACCCTGCTGCTGTGCTTGGCGTGTGTGGGCAGCAGGTGTTCTAGCACTTGCTGATCACTGGTGGAGGTTCCTCCTCCTCAGTGGATCTTTCCTAAGCTTCTCAGATGTGACTTTTCTTCTAGTCAGCTATGTTGAATCTTCCCTCAGCCAGTTTTTGTGCCTACACGGATTGTTGATTAAAGCCAAAAAATGGAGGCAGACACAGAATTGCTGGGAAGGTGGGAGAACCAACCCAGTGGGCACAGGTATTGATAGCAGCTGAGTTCTAGAGCCAGAAATCCGCAGGAAGGTCTCTGGGGCAGGACTCCCCTTTGCTTAGCTAACCTTGGATAGCATAGATAGCAGTTGTTGTTTCAGCCTCTTGGCTGAAATAGTCATGATTCAAATCCTTGTCTGCTCCTGGTCTGAGAGGCAGAGCACTGGTGGCACTCACATCAGGCTGCCACAGTAAAGGTTTAGTAATAATAATGATGATGATAAAATGCTGCCTTAAGACAAAAAATCCCACCAGCAACAACACAGTCTGATTTACTCAGAAAAATAAAATATTTGACATGGATATCTATTGAAGTACCTGGGGCAATGTAGTTAACTTTTTGCTTAATTATTAAAAATTTGTTATCAGGCTGGGTGTGGTGGTACATGCCTGTGAATCACAGCACTCGGGGAGGTTGGGGCAAGAAGACCATAAGTTTAAGCCTGCTTAGTGACTCTGTAACAAACAAACAGACAAGCTGGGAGTATAGCTCAGTATAAAGGCCCTGAATTCTATCACAGGTATTGCAAACAAAATCCTTTAGCTTTCTTAGAAAATTTCAATTTATTAGTGCATGTGTGTAGTATGTGTTTATGTTTCCTGTGACAGGTTGATTCATGTATATAACACATTTTAATTCCTTTTTTAATCTACTTACTCTTTTTTTTCTTTCTCTTCCCCGTTCAACTATCTCTTTTTGTTCCTTTTTTTTTTTTTCTTGGTACCTGTTTGTAATAAATAATGTTTATATTCCTTTGTGTGAAGAAGATTTTATATTCATGTCTTTTTTGGGAAGGGGACCCCAATTAATAATTTTTAAAGAAGATAGATTTATTGAGATACAATTTACATACTCTCCATTCACTCTTTTTTTTGAAACAAGGTTTTGCTATGTAGTTCAGGCTGGCCTTGAAATTAACTATGTGGCTTACACTCATCTTAAACTCACATTGAACCTCCTGCTTCAGCTTCCTGATTGCTGGGATTACAGGCTTGTGCCATCACACTCAGCCATATTTACTTCCTTACAATGTGTAATTCACTGGTTTCTATTATATTCACAGTTGTGTGATCATCATCAAAACTGATCATAAAACATTTTTATCACTCCTAAAGAAATGAATGTATTTGCTGTCATTCTTTATATTCGTTTCACTTTCTGATTTATAGTGATTTTTGTATGATTTTGGATACTTCTGTTTACTTGTCTGTCTTTTAATTTTCCAGTTCTTGTTTCTAATCCTTGCATGTTTATACCCCACCTCCTGCGATTAACTAGCTAATGACGTATTAGGAGTAAGGCTAAGACCAGAGCTTCTGGTTTATGGAAAGGTGGAAGGAATCATAGCGATCTATGAGATGTAAATCCTTCCTCCTAGTTTAAATTGTTCTAATAATTTTAGTTTTGACATTGGATCTTACAAATGCATGGGATGCTTTTTCCCTTGTTAGTGGAAAATAAGAGGTAGTAACAGAAAATCCCTTTAGCTGACTAGTTACTAACCTAGCTAAAATTCTGCCAGATATACCTGATGATTCCCTTCCTAAAAATCATTACTCTGTAGGCTGGAATTGTATCTGAAATTCTGTCTAGACATTATTTGCCCTAAATCCCCTTTTAAAAAGATTCTGTCTTTGGAGGGGATAGGACACTCAAGTATATGTCAAAAACCTATTAGCATGATTAGTTTCACCAGCTTACTCAAAGCAGTGTTCTGAGAGCTTGACTATTGAGCGAGTGTGGGTATTGCCAGGGAAGGAGTGATGATCAGGCTCTAGGGTAGATTATGATTAGGGAAAAATGGGTAGGGCAGTTCTAAAAGGAGCAGAGAAAAGATCAAAACTGAGGATGTGAGATACTCATAATGGTTGCATTTGCTCACAGTAGTCTGAATTTTGTGAAATACACAAACATTACTTTTTAAAACTCCATATTACCGTGGTGATTCAAACACAGTGCAGCTAAGGAATGTGAGTACATTATAAAATTTATCTCTCATGTGACTGAAAAATTATATGGCTGACCTTATTGCTTTAATTTTTATTTCTAAAAGTTATCTATTGGGCTTTATATTTTTCTCATCTATTGAACTTACCGTACATATCAATTATTTTATTTTAGGCAATAATCACATGAAAGAAGAAAATTATGCTGCTGCAGTGGATTGTTACACACAGGCAATAGAACTGGATCCCAATAACGCAGTTTATTATTGCAACAGGTAAACTGGGACCATTGAAGCAGGTTTACAGTTCTTAAACCTTTGGATTAATACTTCTGAAGGAAAGTTGTAAAATTTATTTAATAAAAGTTGAAAGTTCAGAAAATATAAAGGAGGAGGGAAAAATAAACTCATAAACTTATACCTTGGGGGGAACTACTATTAACTTTTTGGCATGTTTTTTTTTTAGATAAGTACACTCAATTTTAGATAGAGCTTTACTCGCTGGACATGTCCTGATTTCATTGAATTTCTTCATATACATTATTTAAATGATTACACATTAGTCTATTTTGCATTTATTATATTTTAATTTTCTATAGCTAGCATAGTAGTGAGCAAACAAATATCAGTAAGTATTATTTTTGAATAAATGGATGTATACACATCCATTGAATAAATGGATATATATACTTAATTTACTTAACTATTGACCTGCTGGTGGGCATTGAGATTGTGCCAATTACTGTCTGTGTTTCTAATGTTTGTTTTTTTTTTTTTTAAGAAAGGGTCTTGCTCTGTGATTCGAGCTGGACTTGAACTCATTTTGTAGCCCAGGCTGGTCTTAAACTTGCAACAATCCTTCTGCCTCAGTCTCCCGAGTACTGGGATTACAGATGTGCGCCACCTGGCTTTCTAAATTTTTTTTTTAACCTTTGTATTTTCTGGACTTTGAATTTATTCCTAGAAATGCATTTGTTTGGTTTAACAGTGTAAACATTTAAAATGTGGAAGCAAATTGCAGCTGTTTCAGTTCCTTTGAATATATTTTGAAAATTAATTTCCTCCTCCCCAGGACTATATTAGTACATCTGTTTGTTTTTTTTTTTTTTTTTTTTTTTTTTGTCTTTTTCCTTTTTTTATCGGTACCGGGGATCGAACTCACAACTGCCTGCTTGCAAGGTAGGCGCTTATGCTGCTGAGCTAAATCCCCAGCCCTGAGTACATCTGTTTTTGCCATGCCCTTTATTAGCATTAGGCACTCCAGTTGGTAATTACAAATTCAATATTGTCATCTCCATGTTAATTTTCCTAATTTAATGTAATTACTGATGTGATTGAACTTTTTGTTTTTGAACTCAATGTCTTTGCACTGAATAACATTCCCAACTCTTTCTACTGTTTATTTTGAGGCAGGGTCTTGCTAAGTCACTGAATTGTCCAGGCTGGGGTCAAACACATGATCTTCCTGCCTCAGTCTCCTAGAGTGTTGGGATTAACAGGCTTGTGCTATCACCACACCTGGTTGGACATAATATTCAGTATTGCTGTTTTTTTCTTCCTAAACTTCCTATTCATACTATCTATGGACTGAATGAGTATGTCCCCCCAAATTTGTATGTTGGACCATAAACCCCACTGTGATGGTACATAGAGGTGAGGCCTTTGGGAAGTGATTAGGTTATGAGGATGGAGCTGTCAGGAGTGGATAATGCCCTTATGAGACAGACTTGAGCTCTTTGCCCTTCCTGCCATGTGAGCAGAACAGTGGGTAGAGTACTGGCATCAGGTGTTGGCCTGTGTGATCGCAGCTCTGTCCAGTTTAACAGGGATCTGAATCCTCTAGGTTATATTTTCAAGGCTCCTTTATCACTTGTTTTTTGTCTGGTCTCAGCCATGCCAGGTTCTGGCAGCAGGGTGAAGGATAGTAAAAGGACAGAAATTCGCGCACTTCTCCCCTTCCCTTGCTTTTGTATCACAATGTGTATATAAAAATGGGCTGTTTCTCATCTTTGTTTCCCACTTCCACCTAAGACTCCTGCCTTGCTTTCAGCTTTTACCAGGTGGCCTTGGGTTTTGTATTCCAGGCTTTGTCCTTGTGGTTTGGAGATGGTAAAGACTTTTTGCTCTTGCTAACCTCTGGATTGCTGTATAACCCCTGCTTTGGCCTTTGAGCTCTTTTTGTGTAGTGAATTCCCTGCATTAAATTACTCTGTTTAATATACACAGGATTTCCAGTAGAACTTTTTTGTAGTAATAGAACTGTTGCATTGTTAAATTCATATTTTACTTTTGGTTGATCGAAGTCCTCTTTTTTCACAATTCTCCTTGTTCTATCATTCAATGACATATTCATTTGACAGATTTTTATTGAAGATGTCCTAGTGCTATTACTGGAAGTAGATGTTATACCTATAGAACTGTAACTTGTAAAATTCTATTTATCTATTTTCTTAATATTTTTGGTTAATGAATCTGTGAAGTAGTATATTTGCTGTTGCTTCCAGTTTCATGTCACCCACAAAAATGAAAAGAATGAAGTTTCTCATGCCATTTACAAATAATGGAGATATCATGGGGGAGTGCTTGAGAGCAGAGTTATGGATCCAGACTTTTGGATTCTAATGTCTGGCTTTGTTAGTTACTACTTATGTGATCTTTAACAAATTACCTAATGTATCTATGCATTAGTTTTCCTATCAGTTAAATATGTATAATAGTAATTATGTTGTAGGGTTGTTACAGAGGTCAAAGAATTTATATAAAGTGCTAGGAGTGTGTAGTAAAGAGTATTATATAACAAGTAGTAACTATTATTATTATTATTATCATTTGTGTGGCCTGCTCTTCTACCTTGATCAGAATATGAAGAGAGATTCAAAGTTGTCAGCTTCCAAATATATTCTCAATTATCTTTTCTGATTACCATTCTAGTACTGACCTTACTAAAATAAAGAGGAGCTGGGCATGGTCACACACACCTGTAATTCTCATGCTCTCACGCCTAATATAGGAGGATTGCTGAGAGCCTGAGGATTGAGGCCAGCTTGGGCTACCTAGTGAGTTTAAGGCCAGCCTGAAATGCATAGTGAGATCCTATCTCAAACAAATAAATGAATAGACAAATTATAAATAAAGAGGAAATGATATTAGTCTGACATGACTTGTTCTGAATTAATCCAGTGTCATATCTTTTTAAATTTAATTTCTAACATTTTATTATGAAAAATTTCAAAGTTGAAAAAATCCACACCTAGATTTTGACATTAGTATTTTAGTATATTTGCTATATCACATATTTATTGATTTGTGCCTCTATTTATTAGTACATCTTGTTTTTGATACATTTCAAAATAAATTGTAACCATGTACACAATAAATTGTGTACATTTTTCTCCTAAATATATAGCATATCATTAACTAAAGTTCAAAATTTTTTTACTTCTTTCTTTTAGGTAAAATTTTCACATGCCAAAATATACAAATTTCAATGCACTTTCATTGAATTTTGACAAATATATCATCTATGTATCACAAACTTCTCTTAAGATACTGAAAATTTCTTTTCAGAATCCAAGAAGTTCCTTATATTCTTTCATAGCATGCTATAATAATCTACTTGGGAAGATCACTGTCCCCCATATCTCCACCATAGATTAGATTTGTCAGTTCTATAATTTTATATAGAAGGCATAATATGTTTTTGCTCAGTAGTATGTTCGAGATTCATCCATAGTGTTTCATGTATCAATAGCTCATTTCTTATGGCTAGGTGGTATTTTGTTGTTTATATATATTGTAATTTGCTTAGTCATTTTCCTACTTGTGGTCACTTAATCTGTTTCTAGTCACCTCCTCCTTCATTTTGTATAAAATTTATAGTTGTTGATGGGAAAGAAAGTTTGTATCCAGAAGGAATTGGGTTGCCCATAATGGAGACATTCATTTTCTTTCATTAAAAAAAATTTCTCTATTAATCTGTTCCAACATCTATCTCAGAAAAACAGAAGAGCCAAATAAGCTGTGGAGAAGAAAGTCCCTAGCCTTTCTATGGTTTGTGTGTATGTTTGTGTGTTGCCCTATAATTAGATGAAAATTCGTATTTTAATTTAGCATATGAAACTTTGAAACAAGTATTTAAGATTATTATGAAATGATATGACCTACTATAAATATTATCAGAAAATTGGTTATTTGTAGAGCACAATGAGCCATTTGCTTTTAGCTCTGAATATCAAAAATATAACCCTAATGATGTTTTTAATGACTAGAGTTCATGCAGTCTTATTGTATAAATAATATATTAAATTAATTTCTTTGTCTCTTCCTATGCTTGCTTATTATTGTTAAGCTGAAATAATAATTATGCCTGTTTTGCATTTAAATACCTTCTCTGAGGAATTTAGAAATGGAGCACTCTATTTAATATTAAATAATTAGAAAAGCTTGCATATCTAATGCAAAGGTTGAATAAAACTTTGTTAATTTTAGGGCTTTTTGAAACTCTTGTCGTTACAATAAATATCTCAACAGCCTGTAGACTTGCCAACTGCCCCTTGCCATTTTTCTTAATCAGCTGATTGCTAGAAGTTGGAAGCTCAGAATACCACATCCAATCTTGCTTTCAAAATTAATTTCTGTTTTATTATCAATAAAAATATTTTTCATGTACTAAGCTCAGTAGAATGAGCTATAGTTTATTTTTATACAGAAGATGTCATTTGGCATAGTTGTTTCACCTGAGGTTTTTTTTGTACCATATTTATCTTCTATTTTGACCTTTAAATATCCTACTGGTGCTTGGAATTCTGCTTTAGAAGGAACACCCAAATATTTTCTTGAAAACCTATTATACTTTTATACTTTTTTCCTAAATATTTAGCACTTATCACAGTGTCTAGTATTTATATTGCCTTAACTCATGTTCTGGCTTAACTCTTGTGCATATTTATTTTCTTTTTTCAGATAAAGGGCAGGGGCTTATATGTATTTGTAGCTCATGTACCACCTTAGAACTATGTTTCATAGGAATTCAGGTAGTTTTTGATGAATGGTGGGTTATAGAAGAAATATGGGCATTTCCATTAATCAAAGCAATTAGAATTCACATTAACATTTGTATATATAATGCAACAAACTATCAAATATAGATATAAATACTTTCAAAATACTTTATAGTATAAAATGAACCAGTTTTCTTCTTATTTGATATTCTTATTTCTTTTGGACAGCCTCAGTTCTGAGTTTATCCTTTACCTGTAGTAGCCTCATGCTTCTGAGATGAATAGATGGTTACATGACTTAGGAAGGCAATGCATGGAATAGAAAGTACACAAGGAAGAGAGAATAGTGGAGAGAATTTTTCTAGAAGGCCCTTTGAGCTATGGGGTGGTAGAGTTGCAATTTTGAAGGATGGGTAGAATTTGGGAAAGACAGGCAAGTAGGGAAGACATTTCAGAGTGGAGAGCATAAATTAAAAGCAGAATCAGAAATCATCAGGCTATCCTAAAGAAGCAACAGCTACGTGGGGCAAGCCTATAGCTTTCCTACCACTGAAGAAGGGGTATAGAGGCCTCATCACCCTGCTGCTCCCATGAGTGTGTAGTCCATCAGTTCACTGAGATTTAAACTTGATTCTTTGAACTTGAATTGAATTTCAGTTCTGCTGTTTACTAGCTGTTTGACCTTGGATATCCACTTAACCTTTTAAAGCCTCAATTTCTTCCCTTGTAAAAGATAACAATAACCATTTCAAAAGGTTTTGTGAGATGTAATAATGTATACTTTCCCTAGAATAGTTGTAGACTTTAAATATTTGTTTCTTTCAAAAACAACATAAGCTTTTTTAGTTGTAAGAATAGGTTTTGCTATAATTTATTTATAAGCTGTCAGGGAATTGTGAGGTAGCATGGCTTTTTTCTCCTTTATTTTCTGTAAAAACAGAACATATATTATATTCATGCTTTTGCTCTAATAAGGTAACGAAAGCCAGGTTGTCTGCGAACATGCTGGCTAACTGTATTGCTCTACCAAAATTTTATTAGTTTTGCCCTGATAACCAGCAAAGGCAGTGTGAAGACCACATTCTTCCTCAGTTCAGACACCGGGTGGGGATGGGGGTTGGCTTCATCTTACAGAAGAGTCCTGGTTTTTTTCTTTCCTGGCCTCTGAGGCTCAACTGACTGTTTTCTTTCTGTTGTGAACTCTACACACCTTCTTCTCCCTAGCTTGTCATTATGATCTGTAGCAGTCAAAATTGAATCAAGTCCTCCTGGTTTTTTTTTTCCCCCTTCCCTTCTTTTGATGAATCCAATCCTTCCAGGTTTATCCCTAATGTTATTCTCAGTAACTGTGGCCAGAGTTTAAGACATCTCCTCTGTTCCTCTTTTTTCCAAATAGCTAATTTGTTCTTCTATTCTAGATCCTTAACTTTTACAATAGAAACCTAAAGCGGCCTCACATTCCTGCTTTATATTCTTCACTGCAGTTTTCTGCCAGAAAATTTTTTCTAAAATACAAAAATGATTATCTAAATTCTTGGTTTCCATTCACTGGTTCTGTATACTTACATGTTCAAATTTAAGCTTCTTAGCATGATATACATCGTTGTTTTAATCTACTCTGTCTGTGTCTGTGTCTCTCTATCTCCCTCTCTGTCTGTTTCTATGTCTATCTCTGCCTCTGCCTTTGCCTTTGTCTGTCTAAGATTGAATCTAGAACCTCATCTATGCTAGACAAATACTACTACATCAGCAGCACCTTAAAAAATTGTATCTTATTTTGAGATGGGTCTTGCTGAGTTATCCAGGCTGGACTTGAATTTGCAATCCTGACTCAGTAGCTGTGATTACAGGTGTGCACTCATTCTCCATGTTGTCTTCTGAGCATCTATTTTAAATTTCCTGGTTTCCTTACTTAGGTCTGTTTTGAGTAAATCCTTCTTACAGTATTGAGTCATGCTTTTTCTCCAAAGTTGGCTTTTTCACTGTTTTGCTGAGGGATGAGATTATGAAAACTTTTGGGAGACTTAAAAAAATAAAAGTTTAGTTGCTTCAGAAGTGAGAGAATTGGAGAAAGTCCGAGAGGACTTGTTCTTCAGCAATATTGCTAAAGAGAGCAGACTGCAGGGGAGTGCCCCGCGCAGCCATCCCTGCAATCGCTCACTTTACTCACCTCCCTGGAAGTCTGTGTACGCTTAGTGTTTTCAGTTTTCAGTTAGAGAAATTACAACAGCATATGACTTGCTTGTCTGTCTTTTTGTAGCCAAGTAAAGAAAGAAAGAAAGTGTGCGTGTTTTTCTACTTAACAGAGGTTTCGGAGTTCTTTTTTTCTATTTTATTGTAGAATTATTCTAGACAGTTTGACTTAGAAATTTACTGGGAGTGGTTTACAAATTAGTACAAGGAAAATGAAGTTTTATTAGTGCCTGAAATTCTGCTTTAGTGCCTTGAAACCTGCTTATAACATAAATCTTTTTGTCTTTCTTAGGGCTGCTGCACAAAGCAAATTAAGTCACTACACAGATGCAATAAAGGACTGTGAAAAAGCAATAGCAATTGATTCAAAGTACAGCAAGGCCTATGGGAGGATGGGGTAAGTTCTAGGAAAATGTTCAAGTAGTACCAAGTAGTATCAGGTATACTGCTTTTATTAGCTTGATTTTGAATTTTCTGCTTTCTGCTCCACTTCTAGAACTAATAAGATGAATACAACGTAAGGGAGGAAATGACTGTCATTTCTATGACTTGAGGGTGAGGGTGAGATGACTGGGTTTTTTTGTTGTTGGAGAAAATCAGAGTCATATGCATAGAGTCATCTTACGACTGTGATGAGCATTCAGTATTGGTTAACAGTCTTCCTATTGTTTTTTCTGTATTCATTTTTCTATTCTCTGATATGACTATTTCATTCCTCCTGCTCACCTTCAGATTTTTACTGCTGTTTGCATGGTGAGTCTCAGCTAATGATACTGTCTTACATTTAATTGTAAAAACAAGTCATTCTCCTCATTTTGGAGATGATTATCAAATCTCTCCCTAATTTCAAGTCTGCCAGCCCCCCTACTTTTATATCTATACAGATTAGCTTTTTCTTTTAAAATGGAAGGACTGTTAATTAAGACCATTACCCTCCACTCACGTTTCACGGTCTTATTCTTTTGTACTTTTATACTTGTAATGATACCCTTTAACTTCTGCAGCACCAGTTTCTCCTATTCTAATAGATGATATTGGCTGCTATGTGAAATGCTAATAAAAATCATTTTTTGGAATCATTTTTTATCTAGTGTTCCTAGCTATCCTCTCCTATGTCAGTTCCTCTTTGTGTGTGAAGCCCCTGATGATTGTACTTCTTGTGCCATCTTTCTCTTTTCTTGTTCTTTCTTAGCCAATTTTAACAGGGCTATTGTGTCTAACACTGTGACAGTTTATTTTCTTTGTCAACTTGACTGGGCTGTGGGATGCCCAGAGAGCTGGTAAAGTATTATTTCTGAGCCAGGGATTTAGCTCAGTGGTGTATGTACCTGCCTGCCAAGTGTGAGGTCATGAATTCCATCCCTGGTACAAAAAAAAAAAAAAAAAAAGTATTATTTCTGACTTTGTGAGAGCATTTCTGGAAGAGATTAGCATTTGAATCTATAGACTGAGTAAAGATCACCCTCTGAAGCGTGAGTGGGCATCATGCAATTCTCGATAGTCAAATAGAACAAAAGGCCAGGGAAAGAATGAGTTATTCTTTCTGTTTGAGCTGGGGCATCTGTCTTCTGTCCTAGGACCCTGGCGCACTTAGATCTTGAGCCTGGAAAATCTCACTTTGGTCTTACACCATCAGCTTCTCTGCTTCTGAGGTCTTCAGGTGTGGATTTTAGCTATATCACTAGTTTTCCTGGGCCTGCAGCTTACAGATGGCAGGTAGTGGGACTTTTCAGTTTCCATAATTGTGTAAGCCAATATTGTATGACAAGTCTCTGTATACCTCTGCCACTATAGTATTGGTTCTGTTTCTTTGGAGAACCCTAAGACAGTCACTGTATTGAGATAGTTGTATTTAAAATCACAACTAGTCTATTTCATCAAAGCTAGTGTTTAGTTCTGTATCCTCACACTGTCTTTTAGTATTTGGTGCAGTCAACCTATTTATTTATTTTAAAAATTTTTATTTTAAAGAGGGTAAAATTAAACAAAACAAACAGATCAGAAGAAAAATATTTAAAGGACACAGATTTCACCGCAGATTTCAAAACAAGACAACAGGAGATCTTCACTGTTGGTCACTGTCTATCATATTGCCTCTTGTTTTCTTTTAAATAGTTGTCCATACCTTCATACCTATTGAATTCATACAAAACAAAATAGTATTAAACTGATCAGAACGGGATGATGAAGGCATTTTAGGTCTTCAAAACCAGACAATAGGGAAGTCAACAATGGCTGCCGTAATGTCTCTCATTCTCTTCAAAATAGCTGTCCATATCTTCATGTATGTTGAAATTAAACAATACAAAACAGACTAAAATCACTCTGAATAAAGAATAATAGTATCGCTGGATTTCACAGCATGATGCTATGGAATCAGCACTGGGTACCTCAGTGTCTCTTTTTCTTCAAAGTAGCTATTCATTTCATCCTACATTATATAATCGATTCTCCTAAACTGTTTAGAAGTTCTATGCATGTATCAGTCTCTACATGTATATCTATCCTTTCTGTATTAGAGGGAAAAACAAAACAAAACAGATCCTTAGAAAAACAAGAAACAAAAAACCAAATAAATAACAAGAGCTAAGAGCCCAAAACACTGACAATATAGGTCTTCAAAACAAGGTGATATGAGCATAACTAGGGTTATTATTTTACATAGTGATCTTCCAAGAGTTCCTCAGATCACCATACAATAATATGCACAATTGTTCCAATCCTATGAATGTTAACTATTTTGTTCCAAGAACATACAGAATTTGTAGCATAATTATCTTAGCTATCCTAAGTGTGTTTATATAATTTTAGATTTTTTTCTTTTCCCTTCCTTTTTCTTTTTCCTCCTTTTCCCTGAGATATTATTTTCCTTTTGAGCAGATTCTTATCCTTTTACTGTATTTATTGAGGATTTGTATCTTATGTACTCTTACCATTTCTTACACTGGGGAGACTGTAGGGTATTTACACATGTGAGTTTGATTTATTTTACTTGAGTATGGCCTTGAGTGGCATCCATTTACTTATAAATATCTCAGTGTGATCCTTCTTTATAGCAGAGTAGTACTCCACTGTATAAAAATACCACATCTTTTTTATCCATTCCTTAGTTGATGGGCATTTAGGTTGTTTCCAAGATCTGGCTATTAAAAATTGTGCTGCTGTGAACATGGGTACACATACATCACTGTGGTATGATGTTTTCAGTTCTTCTGGGAATATGCCCAGAAGTGGAATAGCTGGTTCAAATGGGACCTCCAATCCCAGCTTTTTGAGGAACCTCCAGACTGACTCCAAAGAGGTTGTACCAGTCTGCACTCCCACCGACAATGCAGAAGAGTTCCTTTTTCCCCACAGCCTCTCCAGTATTTGTTGTTGGTAGTTTTCTTGATCCTGGTCATTCTTCCTGGAGTGAGATGGAATCTCAGTGTGGTTTTAATTTTCACTTCTCTAATGAGTTATGATGATGAACATTTTTTCATGTATTTATTTGCCATTTGTATTTCTTCATCTGAGAACTGTATATTCATCTCAGATGCCCATTTTTGGAATGGGTCTTTGAATTTTGGGGATCTGATATTTTAAAATTCTTTATATGTTCTAGACAGAAGTCCTTTGTCTGAGGAACAGTTCACTAAGATTTTTTTCCCAATTTGTGGGTTTTCTTTTCACTATGCTGGAGATTGCTTTCGACATGCAAAAACTCTTAAAGACATGATCCCAGTTACTGATTCTGTGAAGTATTTCATGTGTGGTTTGATTCTTGTTCATGAATTCTCTACCTACCCTTATGTCTTCAAGATTTCTACCTCCTTTGTCTTGCAACAGATTTAGTGTTTCTGTTTTAATATTTAGATCTTTGATTTATTTAGACTTTAGTTTAGTACATAGTGATAGGCATGGGTCTTCTAAAGCATATGAAGAGACACTTTTTCCAGCACCATTTATTAAAGAGACTATCTTTCTTCCAGTGGACGTGTTTGGCCCCTTTATCAAAGATAAGGTGGCTGAGGTGTTTGTAGTTGTAGTTTTATCTTCTAATCTGTTCCTTTGGTCTTCAGGTCTGTTTTTGTTCTAGTATCATGCTGATTTTATTACAGTAACTTTGTAGTATAACTTCAAGTCAGGAATTGTAATGCTTTCTGCCTTGTCTTTGTTGCTTAGAATTGCCTTTGTATTCTCAATCTCTTCTGGTTCCAGGTGAATTTGAGGAGTGATTTCTCTAGATCTGTGAGGTATGCTAGTAGTACTTTGATTGGGATTTCATTAAATCTGTATAACTATTTTCGGAGAATGGCCATTTTCACAATGTTTGTTCTTCCTATCCGTGAACAAGGGGTGTCGTTCCATTTTCTGAGGTCCTCTTTTATTTCTTTTTGGGGGCATTGTAATTTTCCCTGAATAGATCTTTTACTTCTTTTGTTTGATTGATTCCTAAGTATTTCATTTTTTTTGGATGCTGTTGTGAAGGATGTGGCTTCTTTTATTTCTCTCAGTGATTTTGTTGTTAGTGTATAGGAATGCTGTTGATTTTTGAGTGTTGACTTTGTATCTAGCTACATTACTAAGTTTATTTATTATACCTAGGAGTCTTTCAATGGAGTTTTGGGGGTCTTCTATATAGAGTATCATGTCATCCACAAATAATAATCTAACTTCTTTGTTTCCTATCCTTATTCCTTTTATTTCTCTCTCATCTAATTATTCTGGCTAGTATTTCCAGCACTATATTGAATAGGAGTGGTGATAATGGATATCCTTGTCTTGGTCCTGATTTTAGGGTAAAGGTTTTCAGTTTTTGGCTGTTTAATATGATGCTGGCTGTCAGATTGTCACAGATGGCTTTTATCATATTGAGATAAAGACCATCTATTCCAATTTTCTGTAATGTTCTTATCATGAATAAGTGTTGGACTTTATCAAAAGCTTTTTCTGCATCTAGGGAAATGATCATGTGGTTCTTATTTTTGGCTCTATTGATAAGGTGGATTACATTTATTGATTTGCATATGTTGAACCATGCCTGCATGCCTGGGATGAATCCCACTTGTTCATGGTGTATAATCTTGATGATTTGCTGCATCCTGTTTGCCAATATATTATTGAGAATTTTTGCATCTGTGTTCATTAGGGAGATTGGCCTGTAATTCTCTTTTTGATTGGTTTTGGTATTTTCTCAGGTTTTGGTATAGAGTAATACTCACTTCTGGGAATGAGCTAGGGAGAATTGTTTCCCTTTCAGTTTCATTGAAGAGCTTGAGGAGTGCTGGCATTAAATCTTCTTTGAATTTCTTGTAGAATTCCTCAGTGAATCCATCTGGACCTGAGCTTTTCTTTGTTGGTAATGATTTAATTACATTTTCAGTTTTGTTAATTGAAATTGGGTTATTCAACAGA